GTGCTCTGTGGCGGGAGAGGCCGCCGCCGTGAGAGGGCCGCGTACCCCAAAAAAAAAAAAAAAAAAAAAAAAAAAAAAAAAAAAAAGGTTAATAGTTAATTTTATGTAAATTTTGCCTCAGTAAAAAGAAAAATTAATACATCCACAGGAGAGGTATGCCATGCCTCCCATCCGGGCAACTTAGGAAACTCCTCTCTCTCTCTTCGGGATGGGAGAGGAAAGAAACGCAAACGAAGTGGCTGCTGTCTCGCTGTGGGACAACGTGGTTGGAAGACATTGCTCAGCTTCAAGGAGTTGAGACCGGGTGGAGGTGGACTGCGGGGCTGCGGGACCATTTCCCGCCCCGATCGTGTTGCTCTGATGGTCCGTACGGCAGAAGCTGGTGCAGGCGTGTCTTTCAGAGGGCGTCTTAGAGCTTCACGAATATTTGTTTGAAACCCGGGGACCAGTGAAACCGATGGACTCTGTTTCCCATTCTGTCCCTCCTTTGTGTGGTGTGGCCTCACTTCTGGAAGGCCGCTGTTGGGGGAAGGGGGAGAAAAAGCCCTGGACTGCGGGTCCAGAGACCTGGATGCTCGTGGCCGATCCCTCCTCTCCCGCCGGGCCCTGCGTTTCCTGTCCGCGGGACCGTGGAGGAGGTCCGGGTGGAGCCCAGAGAACCTCAGGTGGCTGCAGGTGGAGAGCCTCCCGGGACGCAAAGCCCGCATCTGAGTCGGCCAGACGGCCGCTGGGAGGCACCCTTTATTTACGGGGCTCTCCACGTCAGACTTCTTTGGAAGAAAGGGTTCTTCGACTTTAAGAAAACTATGAAATCACTCAAGTAGGCCGTCTCAGAGGTCCTCTCCGCTTCCACCCGCTGTAGACAGATGGGAACGGAATCCAGGCTCTGATCGTTCCTCACCTCTCTGAGTCTCAGTTCCTCTTCATTCGTGAAATGGGGATAACCAACCCCACCCCAGGGTGTAATGACAATTTTTTTTTTTTTTTTTTGCGGTACGCGGGCCTCTCACTGTCGTGGCCTCTCCCGCTGCGGAGCACAGGCTCCGGACGCGCAGGCCCAGCGGCCGTGGCTCACGGGCCCAGCCGCTCCGCGGCACGTGGGATCCTCCCAGACCGGGGCACGAACCCGCGTCCCCCGCGTCGGCAGGCGGACTCTCAACCACTGCGCCACCAGGGGAGCCCTGTAATGACAAGATTTAGAAGAGATGACTGAGGTGAGGTGCCGGGCACGCAGCAGGTGCCCACCAGCTGGGAAGGGCTCCTCCTTGGCCCTCCTTCTCCCATGTGCCGGTAGTTTAGTAAAGGAAGAAACGCCGTTAAGTCCACTTTGATGTGGCACCCACAAGGGAAGGGGTACATTTCCAGACTGTGGAGAAGGAATAAGAGGTCCCCTCTACCGAGGTAGGGCTGATGGCATAAGAAGTAAATGGTGTATTCATTTGGTCATCTGGTCAGTTCAGCTGCCAAGGCTGAAAGCCAGTGGGCCACAGAGGAATCAGATTTAAGAAAGAGGCTCCCTACCAAAAAGAAAGAAAAAAAAAAGAGAAAGAAAGAAAGAAAAAGAAAGAGAAAAATCAGAGAATGATCTATGTACATTTCAAAACTTAAAACAGAAATCAAAGGAAAATGGAACTGTTTTAAGTTTTGACAGCTGCAGGGTTCATTCTGTTTGGTTACTCTATTTATGTTTTCATTTTCTTTATAGATTCATTGAAAATCGCATCATGTAATAGGGAAGAAAAATGTTCAGTGTTTTTTCACCCCGATAAACCCTTGTTCCTTCCCGAGAACAGATGAAAACGCCAGCTCTAGTGACTTTTGTTTTGATGTATATTTCATAATATCTCATTGATTGTAAGTTTTATTTCCATGTCAATAAAAAACTGGTATTGTAATAAGTGAGAAGGAGTTTAACACAAAGTGGCAGCTGACCTGTTAGCATAGCAGATCGCAGGAGGGGAGGAAGGGGCTCTAAAATGAAGCCAGTTGATAAGCACAAAGCTGGGCAGCTGGAGAACAGGGTCCTACCTCTCCCCTGTCTCTGCAGCCTCGGGGTTGTCTCCTGGTGGGTTCTGGGTTGCTGTTTTACAGAACAGTGAGGCCGGGCCTTAAGCAATGCTTCTTTTACACGGCAGAGGTGGCGGCAGCCACGTACGGGGCAAAGTACGCTGTGCTTGGTACCTTGGAGCTTTCAGAGATGGATGATAATCTAGCTGCGGAGGGAGGAAAAAGACATGACCATGGGAGGCATTAACCACGAGCTTTGTTGGTGGCACTTGGACAGGAGTGTAAGAGGGAAGAGGGCTTGTGAGACTGTCCGGGGGCTTATGGGCGAGGGGGCCACCATCCAGAAGGGGAGGCGGGCAGGGGAACTCTGGGGAGAGGGGGACCAGAGAAGGGCTCAGGCATCCAGGTGATGCTGCTCAGAGCAGGCCAGAGAGTCTCTGCGTCTGAGATCTCAAAGGTCAGCAGTGGCTTGGGGGTCTTATGACCACGGGGCTGTATGTTATCAATGGCCAGATGCCAGGGTAATATTAAGGGGTATGCAAAATGGGCTAAAAATCTGCTCGTTTGGGCTAAACTCTCCAGGAAGTTGAGCTACAAGGGCAAAAAGTCGAAAAGGCCAGCCTGGTCTACTCTGAGCCCACAGGAAGGTAGGAGTTTCTGGACTCAGTGGGAACCGCAGAACTGGCAGTTTCCTGCCTTGTGACTATGACAGGTGGGCAGCAACCAGGAGGGTTGGGAGATGGGAGGCTAAAGGGGAGGACCAATCCAGGAGGGCAGCCTGGAGGAGGCTCCCTCTCCTCTTCTCTGGCCTCGGTATTCCTGTCTGTAAAATGAGGGAGCACAGCTAGTTGATCTCTGGGCCCCTCTGGCTCTGCCATTCTTTTTCTGGTGCATGTCTGGATCCACGTCAGTTGGATCCACGTCATCCGAGTCTTTGGTTCAAGGACGCAGAGCAGCACAGTGGGAAAGCTTTAGGGTCATGGTCGGCCTGGTCTGGGTGTCAATGTCAACTCTCCCATTTGTCAGCTCAGCCATCAACACCACCCAATTCACAGGCCTGGTGAGAGGAGAGACCATTCAGTGTCCCACGCATAATAGGCCTCACGAAATATCTGTGGTAGGATTGGGTGGCAATTATTATTAGAGAGAGTTGATGCTATCTGTGCCACCTCCATCAGCTGCATCTGAGCCTGGTGACCTGCCCACCTGCACTCAACCAGAATGACCAAAGCAAAGCCAACTGTGCTGCCCTGGGATGGAACTCCATCCATGGCTTCTCTGGCACAACCCACCAGCCACTTTGAGGCCCCTCCCCGGGTTTGTAGGAGATCCTCTAGATGCTGAGCTGCACCGTGTACAATGGATGGAAAGGATCTGGGGGATGGGATGATGAAGACCTTGGATCGGCCAAACCAAGCCCCGTCCTCCAAGGCCCTCCCATACACCCACCCACCCTTGTCTACATACAACTGAAAACGGGAAATACCAAGACTCCGTGGTTGGCAGTGGGGAATGAACCATGGGAGAGAAGGTCTGAGCTCCCCCAGAGACGTTCGGTGCAAAAGACAGCTGAGCAATATTAACGGCTCAGGACGAGGGGCTGTGCTACGAATGATTTCGTGGGCGGCTTCTCAGATGGAATAGGGCTGCGTAACTCAGGTAAAGATTTTAAATATATGGTGTAATTGCTACATGTGAAGTCTGTTTCTACTTAGCTTTTAGTCTTGGAAATTAACAAGCTCTGTGCTGCTCCTCCAATTAATCATTAAAGAATTAAGAGTGAGAATATCCACTATTGTAAAAGACTCCAGTGATGATGGTCTATTCAACTTATAAAATAGACACATTTGGTGCAACTGAATGATTTTCCTCTTCTCTGCACAAAATCAGGAATACTAGTCATACTCAATGGCTGGAGTGAATGCTTACAAACTGGTATAGACTAGCCCATAATTACCAAAGTGGAAAAGAATAGCATTTTGTAATGAATGACAAGCTGCTGACCGGAAATCTAATTTGGTCTAATTAAGCAGCCTTTTGTGAGGATTTGTCTTTAGATGGAAAGAGGGAGCCGAGGAGATCTAAATGCAAATGAACTCCATCATTTTGGTCTTAAAGGGCCCAGCCCTTTTCTTCATTAAATTATTAGTCCTCTCACTGTCACCTCGACCCCTTGCCAGGCCCCACCTGCCTTGGAGGAGCCTCACATTTCTTGTCCCTTGCCTCTCATATCTTTTCAAATAGGACACCTCGCATCGACAGAGCTGTCAGGGAGCTCTTGCTTATTCAGGAGCAAATTTTATTTTGTCCAAAGTAATAAAAGCCAATGGGGTTTTGCTTATTAGAGGAATCCACTGCTGTTCTCTGAGGGTGCACCTTCTGAAGTCTGGAGGGTTGAACACACACCCAATGCCATCGGCACTGACAGAGCAACTGTGGGAAAACTGACCCTGCGTCGCAACCTGTGGGGTAGACCAGATATCTGCCTGAGTTTCCCTGGCTGCTGTCTGTTTGAAGGCTTGAGGCTGGAGTGCCCACCTCTTCAGCCGATCACAGGCTCAATCATCTGACCAGGTGGGTTCTCTTTGGCCCACAGAGGATTGCGACACACATCTTGCCCCCCACACGGAGATGCTGGCACAAGCCCCTCAGTCTCATACAGAGACTTCAGGGATAAGCAGAGGCCAAATGCTTAGGTGGCGTTCATGGGTTCACAAGGTCATTTTCAGGTTCAACAATTCACCAGAAGGACCCACAGAACTCAGAAAAGCCACCATACTCATGGCTGTGGTTTATTACAGCAGAAGGATCTAGACTAAAATCAGTAAAGGGAAGAGGTGCATGAGGCAGGGTCCAGGAGAGACCAGCTGTCCTCTCCCAGGGGACAGTGTTTACTTCTGATGTCAGTGACGTGTGACAATATGCACAGGATATTGCCAACCAGGGAAACTCACCTGAGCCTGGTGTCCCTGGTTTTACTGGGAGTTGGTCGCATAGATGTGGCTGATCCCTCACGTGGTTGACCTTAGTCTCCAGCCCCTCCAGAGGCTGAGCTGATACTATGTGGCCCAACCCACACCTGCTCCCCCGCACCCCCGCCATCAATCGCATTGTTAGTATGGACCAGCTGGCATGGCCCAGACCCCCAGGGAAACTAGACGCTCTAATCAGGCAGGACATTCCCAAGGCTTAGAGGTCAGAGGTTTACCTCCCAGAGGCCAAGGCCAGTCCTTTCTCAGAATGTGCAGCGTGTGGACAACCCAGACCTGCTGAGTTAACCCTTTACTGTACATTGGCTGATACCCATCTTCCCAGCTGCCCCAGTGGAAGCAGCAAAGCTGTGAGACTGGTTAGTTTGGGTAGATGAGAAGGGAGAAAACAAATCCCCTTTCCTCACACTAACTCTAGAGCCTCCCCGCTTAGCTCTCTTTGTTTTCAAAGAAATTGCAAATTTGGGGGCTTTTTCATATTCCCAGCGGAAACAACTGGATGCGTGAAGGAGCAGGTGGCTGTGGCAGGTCCCCCCCGCCCACCACCACCCCACCACCCCCACCCACCCCCCAGCT